TTATGATATTATTGGCAGTTGTATTTTCAATTCATTTTCTAATGATTCCTAGCAGGCAATGTGCCTTTTTCACAGCTGCTGCACACTGGATCAGCATCTTCATTGAGATATCCACTGCAACCCCAAGGTCTCCGGGTCTGTCTCCTCCAGTTTAGACTCCATGAGCCCCCCAAAATTAAGATTTTTTTGCTCCAACATGCATCACTTTAGACTTGTTTACATTGATTTGCATTTGCCATTTTGCCACCTCTTCACTCAGTTTGGAGAGGTCCTTTTGGAGCTCTTTGCAATCTCTGTTTTAATGACTCTAAACAATTCAGTGTCGTCAGCAAGCCTGGCCACTTTACTGCTCCCTCCTAACGCGAGATCATTTATGAACAAGTTAAAAAGCACAGGTGCCAATACTGATCCTTGGGTAACTCCACTTTCTACTTCTCTCCATTCAGAGAACTATTGATTTCTTCCTGATCTTTGCAATTTAACCGGTTCCTGTTCCATAAGAAGACCTCTCCTCTTAAGGCGTTGCTGAGAGGGGGAGCGCTCATCCTCAAAGCAAGAAGCTTCCCCCCTTTTCTGAACTGCTGTCAGTACATGCTCTTACTTTTTTATTTCTTGCTCGCCCAAAAATATATCCCCACCATTTTCCCCCTCTCTGGTGCCAACGCTTCACCTATTTGTTCCAAAACCTGCTTTGCTAGGGATTAAAACCCATTGAGTTTAAAGAGTCCTGCTTCTGAGTAAACACATTAATGATAACACATTTTTTAAACATATACTTATATATGTAAGGGGTGTGCGCAGTGATTATAGTGTTGAACCATGACCTGGGAGACCAGGGTTCAAATTCCCACTCAGCAGTGAAGTTCACTGGGTGCCCTTGGGCCAGTCACTGTATCTCAGCCAACCTGTGTGGTAAGCAACCTTATGATAAAACATGCCATCGGTCCATTTCCCACTGGGGTGGAGAGCATCCTTCCCATAGGCCAGAGCTGGCCAGCCAGGGGTCCAATTTGGCAAAAGAGGCCATTTCCCCAAACCATGGCCACCTGCCTCTCACCTGAGCACATGGGTCAGGTTGAGCCATGACTGGATCAGCTGTGCAAAGCGAGTTCCCTGTGGGGAGGGCGCAGCCAATCCCTGCAGAAAGTGAAGCCACCTGCCATCAATGGTGAGGCTGAGGTGGGCCACCCTGGCCACCTGCCACAAGGGGTAGGGAAGATGGGTATCTGGCCTGATGCTTAGATGAGTTCCCTTAACCTTAGTTTACAATGAATGGCAGCAGTTCTCTAGGATTTAATAGACTCATAGACCTGTGGGGAGTTGGGAGAGACCCAATAGGTCCCCTAGTCCCTCCCCCACCTGGAGGTGCAGGCTGTACTTCTGCCTGCACCCAGATGCGTGTGTTGCAGCTCTTTGCAGAGACGGAGACAAACCAACAAAAGACATTGGGATTGCACATGGCACCCCAAGGGCACGTGGAGGTGCGGAGGGGGGCAGAGATGAGCCAGCACAACCAGAAATGGTGCTCCTCGATTGCTTCCCTGCCTTACTTCAGGAGGTTGCGGGTCTGGAGAAGGGCTTTGGGCAAACATTTCCATGCAAGCAGGAGGAAATCTACTTTGTATGCAGAAGGTCCCAGGCTCAGCCCCCTGCATCTCCATGGAAGGCAGAGACCGTGCATGCCTGAAGCCCTGGAGAGCCTCTGCCAGTCCATGTAAACAGTAGTTAAACTCAATGTAGAAATAGCTTGATTCTGTGTGTGGCACCTTCCAATTGTTATATTTAAACCATCCCTCTATTTAGAACCACAAGAACCAGGATCTTGATTTATTTTTATGGCAGGAGCCAAAGTTCCCAACACAGAGGAGGATCCCAGGTTCAGGCCCCTGCCAACTGCAGGTCCAGGGGAGACAGCGGCTCCCACTGGAAACCTTGGAGAGTTGCTGTTGGTCATTGTAAGCCAGGAGGGGGAACCTTCGTTGATCTCCATAACAGTTGCTGGAACCTTCAGGAGGGGAGGGTGGTCTTGTGCTTGAATCCTGCTTGCAGGTTTCTTCACAGAATGCTGGACCAGAAGGGCCATTGACCTGATCCAGCAGGCGCTTTTATATCCATCTCCTCTGACCTTGACTACGCTGTCTGGAGCTGATGTGGAAGGATGTCCAGCAACATCTGGGAGGGCCATAGGTTCCCTATCCCTGGTTCACATTGACTAACAGGTGGAGCAGAGGTCTGATTTAGTAAATTATTATTACATTCATAGGGGGACACGGGTGGCGCTGTGGGTAAAAGCCTCAGCGCCTAGGGCTTGCCGATCAAAAGGTCGGCGGTTCGAATCCCCGCGGCGGGGTGCGCTCCCGCTGCTCGGTCCCAGCGCCTGCCAACCTAGCAGTTCGAAAGCACCCCCGGGTGCAAGTAGATAAATAGGGACCGCTTACTGGCGGGAAGGTAAACGGCGTTTCCGTGTGCTGCGCTGGCTTGCCAGATGCAGCTTGTCACGCTGGCCACGTGACCCGGAAGTGTCTCCGGACAGCGCTGGCCCCCGGCCTCTTGAGTGAGATGGGCGCACAACCCTAGAGTCTGTCAAGACTGGCCCGTACAGGCAGGGGTACCTTTTTATTACATTCATACAGCACCTTTATCTTCCAAGGATCTCAAGGTGGTGTACATAGTTCCCCTCCTTCCCATTTCATCCTCACAACAACCCAGTGAGATAGGTTAGGCTTCTAGCCTAAGGTCACCCAGTGAGCTCCATGGCTGAGTGGGGATTTCCCTCCCAGGTCCTTGTCCAACACTCTAGCCATTATGCCACATAGTTTCTCACGTCCATCCATATTCCTGGATTCTAAGGCATATAGGATTGTAAAGCTAAACACTTGAATTGTGGTTGGAAATGGAAGTGTTTAATTCATTTTTTAGGAAGGTGGAGGGGGAAATCACAGGTACTGTACTGAGATCTGGGATTCCATGCAGAGTTATTGATTTCACTTCACAGGCTGGTAAGATGTGGAGGCAACTGGGAAACCCTCTGTGCTGTCAAGAGACAGACGTATTTCATCTTTTGCCATTGCTATTTCACTGCCCCCGACTTGTAGCCATGGGCCAAAGAACTCGGTGGGTGTTTTGGTTTCAGTAATTATGACTGTGATGTAGAGGGAAAAAAGGGCTGCCTCTTTCCTTGCAACAAAGGCAGCAACTAAATATTGGACAAATATAACAATCCTTAATGGAGTTCAGTCAAAGGTGCTGCCAAAGACAGGTAGGTCACAGGATTTGCACGAAGCAGAATGAGTCATTTTATTGCCAACAAAATGCCTGCAATTTTGAGCTGAGCTTTAACCACCCAATTATCTTGATTTCTTTCTTTTTCTTAAAAGAAAGAAAATATAATCAAGTAAAGAATAGGAGAAACCAGAATCAATGATCCTCTTTCCACTCCAGGTGGAGACCAAAACAGCAGCAAAGGTGGTGTCTAGTAGGTCTCAATAAATGAGATAAATTGCTTATGTTTAGAGGGCTTTTTGTTGTGGTGCGACGGGTGGGGTGAAATGCCAGTTTGTGAAGGACTTAAAGAAAATAAGCTGGACTGATACTAGCTACTGCCAAGTAACTCTTGCATGAGAGGAATTTATCTGTTATAAATTTTGGAAAGTTGTTTCTGTATTTGCTATGCATTTGGACTCCTCTTAGCTTTTGTAACCCAATTCCCAAGGAGCAGGTTTTTGTATTTTGCTTGGGTACAATTGGATGCCATTTTTAATCAATATGGCAGACTGAACTTTCCAAAAGCACGGATTTCAAAAGTGCAATGATTTTGTTTGGCTTCTTAGAAAGCCCAAGCACTGCTGGCAGAGCATTTCCTTTGCATGTAACAGGTTCCAGGTTCAATCTCCAGCAACCTCAGAAAGGGCTGGGAGAGATCCCTTCGGACATCCTAGAGAACTTCTGCCATGGTTTGACTCCTATAAACAGCTTCCCACTTTCCCATCTTCTGTGAGCTGCTTGGAGCACAGTGGGTTTGTAGGAAATGAGGTATGTAAATGATCTGACTGCTTCTTGGCCTTTCAGCTGGGATCATGCAAAAACATTATCTATGCTAATTCATCGGTTCTTACCAGATCCAATACAAATCCGATACAGCCTGGATTTGAGGAGACTATATATTAACTGGATTTTTGGAACTCGGAGATGGAATAGGGGCTTCCTCCATCTGCTCCACGCATCAATCCAGTACAGTGGTACCTTGGGTTAAGAACTTAATTCGTTCTGGAGATCCGTTCTTAACATGAAACTGTTCTCAACCTGAAGCATCACTTTAGCTAATGTGGCCTCCCGCTGCCGCCAAACCGCCGGAGCACGATTTCTGTTCTCATCCTGAAGCAAAGTTCTTAACCCGAGGTACTATTTCTGGGTTATTGGAGTCTGTAACCTGAAGCATCTGTAACCTGAAGCGTCTGTAACCCGAGGTACCACTGTATTGCAGTACACCTCCAAGAATGGCTCACCAAAAATAAACAAATCAACTATTTTTGAGAGCTGTTCAGTGCAAAACTGAAATTGGGAAAGACACCATGACAGTTAAAGCTGGTACCAGAAACTGACCCACACCAGGAATCTCCCAGTCATTCACATGCTTTAAATGAGGGCCAAGTAATGTTTTTCCAGCTTGAGGAGCAGTTTTTGGAAAGCTGTATGCCAGGCTGGGTGGGGCCAGAGGCAAAGGGGGTGGAGCAAACAGATGCAACTCGGAACTTGCTATGGGAGCCAGGCCAAAGCCCTAGAGGCGTCACCAACTCTCTGCACCCTGCTTCACACAGGAAAGCAGGAAGCATTATCACAGCTCAAGGGCCTGTTCCTGTCAGGCAAAACCAGCGCCAGAAGTATGAGAATGGAGGGGGCCTGGGGAAGAGTACTAACAGGCAGACTGACTGGCCCCTGGGGCTTGACTTTCACCACCTCTGCTTTAAACCAACGCAACAAATGAGACGGCAGTGAAGGTGTGGGTTGTAGGTATATTTATTTGCAAATACAAGAGAGAGAGAGAGAGAGAGAGGGAGGGAGAGAAAGAAATTGCCATACAATAGCAAATAGGAACATTTACAGTTATCTCCAATTCGGACTTGATCAAGTTAATGTTAAATACAAAACTGAGAAAGAAAGGGAGAGAAAGAAAGAAAAAGGGATTGTAAAAAATAAAAAATATGCGCATTAAAAGAGCTTATTCCAGTATAAAGTTACTGAGGGCAGCTCAGATGCCACCCTCCTCCTCTCCAAGCAGAAATTGGGGTGGAGGGTGGCTGTCAGCCTGCTTTAAGAAAACGGGAGCTCCCAGTCTTGTCACTGGCAGGCTGCGCAAGGAGAAAGAACTGGATGTAGAGAGCAAGAATTCCCCCACTTAAACAAAATTGGCTTTCAAGGTTTTGTCGGAGAGGAGGGGCTGTGGGAGAGAACAGATCTGAGGCCCGATATCAAGTCTCCTTCCTCTACCTCCCTTCTCCCAGATGTTTGGGGGTTAAGCCCCACTTATTTGGCCACTCACATCCACACTGTCCCCTGCTGAGTCCTTCGTACCAACAACTGCCTAGCATTCCTGGCTAGCAGCAAAACTGCAAGTGGGTTCCACATGCCCCGCCCCACATCGCAGGAAAAGAGACCCACAGATCTGCACCCCAGCTAATAACCTTTTCTGCAGACTTAAGATACAATCACGGGCAAGAAAGGTGAAGGCAGGGGAGAAGAATCCCACTGGGATGTGGCACGGAGGATCCTTGCAGGTTAAGGGTGCATCCTGCTGTGGCAACATCACATGGACACACACACACACACACCAGGCACTGCGGCATTTGTGTGATACGACATCATAACTTGCACGCAACCTGTACACCTCTGCACAACAGGTGTGCCCTTGCAAGTGTGTGTATGTTGAAGCTACATCAGTGGGTGAACTGGGATGGCACAGTGGGCAAGACCAACCTTGGGCAGGCTGGGCAGACAAGAACCATTAACATAATTCATAACACTGACGCTGCCACTCAATACAAAGGTCCCTGTAAGATATTAGGTCCCTGTAAGATATTAGGACTCTGCATCATATTTATGCAAAGAAAATACTGGCTACATCTTTGAACGAGGAGTGTGTATTAAGTACATACAGAGAAGAAAACACCTAGATTCAGTGGTGGGCAAGACGGAAATCTTCTTCTATCCTGGCCTTGGATATAACTGGAAAGGGTCCCCTTCTGCATCAGAACCAGGAAAGCAGCACCCCCTCTGTCTCTAGAAGGTGGAGGACACTGACATGGCAAGGAGTTCCATCTTCTCCCTGTTTGCCTCCAGTGGCAAGTCAGGACCAGAAGTTTGGTTTGTTCTTTTTTTAATAAGGCACAGTTCAATCAAGGGTGCTAGTCTTGGAGAATGCAAGCCTTCATAGCCCATGGCTACTAGTTGCGACTTGAGCTAGCCAGCTAGTCAAACAGAAAGTTTCTGATAGCCTCAGCGGCAGAAAAATTGGCTCAAATCAGTGTTCTGGGCAAAGCTGCATCTGAAGATGCTGACAAATCTGGTTTGGTCAAGAGGGAGGAAGGGAGGAAACTGCTCTGTGGCCGCTGGGCCAGGATTCCTATTAGCTCTTCTCCTTCCCTGCCCAGGCGTAGGAGGAAGGGAGCAGGTTCTCTCTCTGCGCATGCTCAATGATGGCCAAGTAGCAGAAGTAGTACTGCTCAGGGGTCTGGATGCTGAAAGCTCGCTGCGTCCTCATCCGCACCACTGTCTGCTGCACGTTCAGCGTGCCCACGTCCTGCAGTTGAGACAGGCAGATGTCCAGAGCACAGAAGGTACCTGGGGGAAGAAGATCACCGTAAGCCATACCCAAGCCAGGACCCCTTGGACACTCCACATCCAACTTCCCCCACATCCTGGGGCCCTTGAGGTGTTGTTGGACTCCAGCTTCCCCCAGCCTCAGTCAGCATGGACCAGTGGTCAGGGAGGGTGGTCCTGCAACACATAATGGCCCTGCTCTGCCTCCACAGCTGGTGGCTCTGAATACCAGTTGCTGGAAAGGGCTCCTTTGCTTGGGTCCTGCAGATCACAGTATATAAAATAAAAATAAAAGCAATAACCCAATAAAAACCCTGAAAAAAGCCACTACTGAGAAATCCCCATTCTTGTGTTGCCACCCTCCAGACCTCTTGAGGAGGCCCACAAAGAAGGGCCTCAGAAGATGATTACAGGGTCCGGGAAGGTTCATATGGAAAGAGGTGGTTCATGAAGTACAGGTGAAACTTGGAAAATTAGAATATCGTGGAAAAGTTCATTTATTTCAGTAATTCAACTTAAAAGGTGAAACTAATATATGAGATAGACTCATGACATACAAATTGAGATATGTCAAGCCTTTATTTGTTATAATTGTGATGATTATGGAGTACAGCTGATAAAAACCCCAAATTAACAATCTCAGAAAATTAGAATATTGTGAAAAGGTGCAGTAGCTATTCAATCCATAACACCTGCAATGGGTTCAGTAGGAAGCACAATCATGGGGAAGGCTGCTGACCTGACAGTTGTGCAGAAAGCCATCATTGAGACCCTCCGTAAGGAAGGAAAGCCTCAAACGGTAATTGCAGAAGTTGGGTGTTTCCAAAGTGCTGTATTGAAGCACATTAATGGAAAGTTATGCAGAAGGGGAAAGTGTGGCAGAAAAAGGTGCACAAGCAGCAGGGATGACCACAGCCTGGAGAGGATTGTCGGGGAAAGACCATTCAAATGTTGTGGGGACTTTCACAAGGAGTGGACTGAGGCTGGAGTTAGTGCATCAAGAGCCACCACACACAGACGGCTCCTGGAGATGGGCTTCAAATGTTGTATTCCTCTTGTCAAGCCACTCCTGAACAAGAAACAACATCAGAAGAATCTTGCCTAGGCTAAAGAAAGGGGAAAAAAGAACTAGTCTGTTGCTCAGTGGTCCCAAGTCCTCTTTTCTAATGAGAGCAACTTTTGCATCTCATTTGGAAACCAAGGACCCAGAGTCTGGAGGCAGAATGGGGAGGCACACAATGCCAGATGCTTGAAGTCCAGTGTGAAGTTTCCAATGCCAAATGCTTGAAGTCCAGTGTGAAGTGTTGATTTGGGGAGACATGCCATCAGCTGGTGTTGGTCCACTGTGCTTCATTAAGTCCAGGGTCAACGCAGCTGTCTACCAGGAGATTTTGGAGCACTTCATGCTTCCTTTCGCAGACGAGCTTTATGGGGATGCTGCTTTCTTTTTCCAGAAGGACTTTGTCACCTGCCCATAGTGCCAAAAGTACCAAAACCTGGTTCAATGCCCATGGGATTACTGTGCTTGATTGGCCAGCAAACTCACCTGACCTGAACCCCATAGAGAATCTATGGGGCATTGCCAAGAGAAAGATGAGAGACATGAGACCGAGCAATGCAGAAGAGCTGAAGGCTGCTATTGAAGCTTCCTGGTCTTCCATAACACCTCAGCAGTGCCACAGGCTGATAGCATCCATGCCATGCCGCATTGAGGCAGTAATTGATGCAAAAGGGGCCCAAACCAAGTACTGAGTACATATGCATGCTTCTACTTTTCAGAAGTCCAATATTGCTCTATTTGCAGTCCTTGTTTTGCTGATTTCATTTAATATTCTAATTTTCTGAGATTGTTAATTTGGGGTTTTCATCAGCTGTACACCATGATTATCACAATTATAACAAATAAAGGCTTGACATATCTTCCTTTGCTTTTTTAAAAAAAGATATTTATTAGAATTTTACAAAATGAAAAAAGAAAATACAAAATAAAAATAGTAAAACAATCCCATCTTTCCATCACTTTCTTTCATTTGCTTGTTTCCCGGACCTCCTCACACCTCCCTTTTTGTATTCCAGTTCAATTTGTTAGTTCAGCAAATCCTTCCCCTCTTTGTTTAATTTTAAAATAATGTCACCTTAATCTAATATCATCTTATCTTGTAAACAACCTTCAAACTTACAGCTTAAGTCTTATTCTTACCAACTTCTAATAACCATAATATTCTTTCCTAATTCTTTAAACATTTTTGCTAGGGCCATGCAATTTCATTTCAACATCCTTCTAACATTCATCAATTTTATAAAACAATCTTAGTAACAAAACAAAAAAGAAATAAAGACAATCCAATCTTCATCCAGCGTCCCTTCCTCCTGGTCCCGGGTTTTGTCAGTCCTTTTTATCCCATTGATCTGGCGCATTAACCTGGTAACCTTATATCCGAAGCCCTTAAGTCTCTTCCATGTCCCTTCATATTCTCCTTTCACTCGTGGGAACTCCAGCTTGGTAATGTTTTTGACCCTTTTCAATAAATCTGCCCCTTTTCTATAGTCCAAACTCAACTCCATATGATATTTAACAACATGTTTCAAGATCCTTCCAAAATTGAAAGCCCCCACAGCTCCAAACCTCTCATGGCCCATTGCCAGACTCGGGAAGTCCAAATATCCCTGCACAGGGGGATCAATCCAACCCCCCATTTCCAAGCCAATCCAAACTTTATCTTCCCAAGTCTGTTTTTTCCAAGTTCATTTGTCAAGTCCAAAAGCTCATGTTCCTGCAGGTCCGCAGCTCCCTCCAGGATTCAGCAGCATCCTCTTCTCTCATCTGTTCTGTCAGGACACACTCCTGATTTAATTCCTGGGTGGGTTCCATATACTTTCCCACTGCCTGGTCAAAATTTCCCACTGCCTGTTTAAAATTTCTAACAGAGTCAGTCATCAAATTCGTCTCCTCATGTAATTGTTCAAGTAGGGCATTTGTTTTATAAAAGGCACACAGCAGAGCTTCTGAATACATTGTCCTGCAAGGTCACAAGTCTGTTCCCACGATTGTAATCTGTGACAGCTGTCAGCTCCCTGAAATTAGTTACAGTTTCGCAGTCTCCCTCTAGGGGGAAACCTTCTATTTGTTCTTTCATAGAATCATAGAGTTGGAAGAGACCACAAGGGCCATCGAGTCCAACCCCCTGCAAAGCAGGAAACACCATCAGAGCACTCCTGACATATGGTTGTCAAGCCTCTGCTTAAAGACCTCCAAAGAAGGAGACTCCACCACACTCCTTGGCAGCAAATTCCACTGTCAAACAGCTCTTACTGTCAGGAAGTTCTTCCTAATGTTTAGGTAGAATCTTCTTTCTTGTAGTTTGGATCCATTGCTCCGTGTCCACTTCTCTGGAGCAGCAGAAAACAACCTTTCTCCCTCCTCTATATGACATCCTTTTATATATTTGAACATGGCTATCATATCACCCCTTAACCTCCTCTTCTCCAGGCTAAACATGCCCAGCTCCCTTAGCCGTTCCTCATAAGGCATCGTTTCCAGGCCTTTGACCATTTTGGTTGCCCTCCTCTGGACACGTTCCAGTTTGTCAGTGTCCTTCTTGAACTGTGGTGCCCAGAACTGGACACAGTACTCCAGGTGAGGTCTGACCAGAGCAGAATACAGTGGCACTATTACTTCCCTTGATCTAGATGCTATACTCCTATTGATGCAGCCCAGAATTGCATTGGCTTTTTTAGCTGCCGCGTCACACTGTTGGCTCATGTCAAGTTTGTGGTCAACCAAGACTCCTAGATCCTTTTCACATGTACTGCTCTCAAGCCAAGTGTCCCCCATCTTGTATTTGTGCCTCTCATTTTTTTTGCCCAAGTGCAATACTTTACATTTCTCCCTGTTAAAGTTCATCTTGTTTGTTTTGGCCCAGTTCTCTAATCTGTCAAGGTCGTTTTGAAGTGTGATCCTGTCCTCTGGGGTGTTAGCCACCCCTCCCAGTTTGGTGTCATCTGCAAATTTGATCAGGATGCCCTTGAGTCCATCATCCAAGTCGTTGATAAAGATGTTGAATAAGACCGGGCCCAAGACAGAACCCTGTGGCACCCCACTAGCCACTCTTCTCCAGGATGAAGAGGAACCATTGATGAGCACCCTTTGGGTTCGGTCAGTCAGCCAGTTACAAATCCACTGAGTTCTTTACAAGAATATCATGGGGCACCTTGTCAAATGCCTTGCTGAAATCAAGGTAGGCTACATCCACTGCGTTCCCTTCATCTACCAGGCTTGTAATTCTGTCAAAAAATGAGATCAAGTTAGTCTGACATGACTTATTTTTCAGAAATCCATGCTGGCTATTGGTGATCACAGCATTCCTTTCTAGGTGCTCACAGACTGTTTGCTTAATGATCTTCTCCAGAATCTTCCCTGGTATTGATGTCAGACTGACTGGGCGATAATTATTTGGGTCCTCTCTTTCCCCCTTTTTGAAAATAGGGACAACATTTGCCCTCCTCCAGTCTGCCGGGACTTCGCCTGTTCTCCAGGAATTCTCAAAGATGACTGCCAGTGGTTCTGAAATCACATCTGCCAGTTCTTTTAATACTCTTGGATGCAGTTCATCTGGCCCTGGAGACTTGAATACATCTAGACTAGCCAAGTATTCTTGTACTATCTCCTTAGTTATTCTGGGCTGTGTTTCCTCTGCTGAATCATTTGCTCCAAATTCTTCAGGTCGGGCATTGTTTTCTTTATCAGAGAAGACTGAGGCAAAGAAGGCATTGAGGAGTTCAGCCCTTTCTGTGTCCCCTGTTTGCATTTCACCATCTTCTCCTCTGAGTGACCCCACTGTTTCTTTGTTCTTCCTTTTGCTACGAACATACCCATAAAAGCCTTTTTTGTTGCTTTTAACCTCTCTAGCAAGCCTGAGTTCTTTTGAGAACAGATCTAACAACAATGTTTCTTTTTCTTTTGAGATATTTTGTCGATATTTGTTCCTTTAAAATGCGGAAGGAAACAATGTAATCACTAT